CAGTTGCCCCCTCCGCGCGGGTCACCACGCCCAGATGCGCCGGCTCCGCGCTGTGGTTCCGCTCTCGAATCCCCACCCCGCTTTCTCCCCACGAAGCGCCGCCGTCCCCGCCGCCTCGGGCTTTGGGTCCTGGTTCCTCGCTCCCCCGCCCCGGTGGTTCCCGTCCCGGCGTGTTCGGGTCTGGGATCCCGGACCCAGTCCAGCCGTGGCGCCCCCTGCTGATGCACCGACCGGGTGCCGTCTGCCCGGTCCCTGGAAGTTGGCCCTTGGAAACCTGCAAGGGGATTTGGGGCGGGTCTTTCCCGTCCTAGGATGGGGTCTCCTGAGGTCCCCCCATCAGACTGACCTTTCTCCGCCCGTGTTCACGCACTGCTCGGTCCCCCGGGGACCTTTCACCCTTGATGGTCATCTGGGAGCTCCCTGCCCGCGGTGAGCCCCACCCCCCACCTTCACCCCGTTCCACCCACGTCCATCGGCTCGTACAAGCCTGCGAGGGTTCGAGGGGGTCCGGGTCCCCGTCTGATAAGCCCGGGCTCCGAAAGCTCAGCTGCCCGTCTTCGTCCCCCAGATCCGAGGCACTAGCCCGAGCTCGGAAGACCGTCTGACTGCCCCAGAATCTGCTTGGTCTCCCTAGCTCGTTCCGGGGGGCTGGCTTAGCATCCCAGGGCTGCGGCGCGGTGTTCTCATCTGGAATCCCAGCGGTTTGGGAGGCTAAGGTCGGAGGGCCACTTAGGGTTAGGAGTTCGAGACCAGCCTGGGCAGCATGGCGAGACCCGTCTCTACCAAAATAAAAAAATAACCAAAAATAGCCGGGCGCGGTGGTTCACGCCTGTGATCCTAGCACTTTGGGAGGCCGAGGCGGGTGGATCACGAGGTCAGGAGTTCGAGACCAGCCTGGCCAACATGGTGAAACCGGGTCTCTACTGAAATGCAAAAACTAGCTGGGTGTGGTGGTGCACGCCTGTAATCCTGCTACTGGGGAGGCTGAGGCAGGAGAATGGCTTGAACCCAGGAGACGGAGGTTGCAGTGAGCCGATTGTGCCACTGCGCTCCAACCTGGGTGACAGAGCAAGACTCCATCTCAAAAAAAAAAAAAAACATAAAAAATGAAAATAAATAAAATAAAACCCCACCACCACCCCAAGGCTGTGGGAGCCCCAGACGCCTCTTGCTCTACTTGCCCCAGTCCGAGTGTGCCCCTACTGTCCAGAATCCGCCCAGGCCACCTGGCGAGGGTAGCCTCCTCCAGACAAGGCTTGGTGCTGTCAGCCTGCTGGGGGGCGGCTCCAGCTGGTAACCTACCCCGTTCCTCACCCTGTGAACCCTTCCCACTCACAAGGTTTCAACTGCCATCTGAAAAATCTCTTTCTTCACCCTTTCCTCCTCTTTGAGCAGCCTGAGGGGGCTCCAGGGCTCAAACACATCTCAAATATCCCCCAAAACTGTCCTCCCCATTTTCTCTCAGATAACCACACTACTGTCTACTGAAGTTAGATACCAAGAACCATCTCTTTTTTTCTTTTTCTTTTTTTTTGAGACAGGATCTCAGGCACCCAGACTGCTGGAGTGTGGTGGCGTGATCATAGCTCACTGCAGCCTTGACCTCCTGGGCTTAGGTGATCCTCCTGCCTCAGCCTCCCAAGTAGCTGGGACCACAGGTGCGTGCTACCACGCTTGGCTACTTTTTGTATTTTTTTGTAGAGATAGGGTCTTGCCCTGTTGCCCAGGCTGGTCTCAAAGTCCTGGGCTCAAGTGATCCTCCCACCTCGGCCTCCCAAAGTGCGGGGATTACAGGCATGACTCACAGCGCCCTGCTGAGAACCATCCTTTTAACAGACATTTGTTAGGCAGTCGCTGTGATTCTGCCTCTCCCTCAACCCATCCCCATCGCACTGATACAGCTGTATCTCCTACATATTTACCTAATCGGTCCATCTGTGCCCTTAGGCCCGGAACTGCTGTTGTTGAGCCACCTTCAAATTTCAGCTCCTCAAATCCAGCCCCCATCTCATCCCAGGGCACTAAGGGAAATCTAAATGTGACCTCTGCCAAAATTCTTCAGAAACTATTATTTGTAAAACAGGATAAAGTTCCAGTTCCTGGCTGGGCACGGTGGTTCACGCCTGTAATTTCAGCACTTTGGGAGGCTGAGGTCAGAAGACCAGCCTGGCCAACATGGTGAAACCCTGTCTCTACTAAAAGTACAAAAATGGCTGGGCGCGGTGGCTCACACCTGTAATCCCAGCACTTTGGGAGGCCGAGGCGGGTGGATCACGAGGTCAGGAGTTCAAGACCAGCATGGCCAGGCTGGGCGCAGTGGCTCATGCCTGTAATCCTAGCATTTTGGGAGGCTGAGGCGGGTGGATCACGAGGTCAGGAGTTCAAGATCAGCATGGCCAGGCTGGGTGCAGTGGCTCATGCCTGTAATCCTAGCACTTTGGGAGGCTGAGGCAGGTGGATCACGAGGTCAGGAGTTCGATACCAGCTTGGCCAAGATGGTGAAACCCTGTCTCTACTAAAGATACAAAAAATAAGGTGGGCGTGGTGGCGCACACCTGTAGTTCCAGCTACTCTGGAGGCTGAGGCAGGAGAATCACTTGAACCCGGGAGGTGGAGGTTGCAGTGAGCCAAGATTGTGCCATTGCACTCCAGCCTGGGCAACAAGAGCGAAAGTTCATCTGAAAAAAAAAAAAAGATCTGGGTGATGTGGCACCCGCCTGTAACCCCAGCTACCCAGGAGGCGGAGGCAGGAGAACTGCTTGAGCCAGGGAGACAGAGGTTGCGGTGAGCAGAGATTCCACCACTGCACTCCAGCAAGGGCAATAAAGCGAGACTCCGTCTCAAAAAAATAAATAAACAAAATTTTAAAGTTCCAGTTCCCCAATTTGATCCACGCAGGCTCCTCCGTCGCCCTGTCTCTGGAGGACATCTGACCTGCCTGGTCCCAGATGCTCCAATCACATGGCCTGTGGTTTCTGCACCTGCTGTTCTCCTCTAGCTCTCGACAGAGCCTCATTTTGGACAGCACCTCCTCTGGGAAGCCTTCCCTAACCACTCCCCATTAATAATGTTCACTTTATTTGTCCACTGCCAGCACTGTTTTATAATTAGCTATTCATCTGTTTGTCTTCCTCTCCAATTGACCATGAACTCTTTGGGGGCAGAACGGTGTCTTCTTCAACTTTGTATAACCAGCCCTTGATAGAGAAGCAAGCACAAAGCAGGTGCACAATATGAGTTTGTGGAATGAAAACATGAACTCATGAAAAGGGGCAAGAGGCCAGGCGTGGTGGCTCACACCTGGAATCCCAGCACTTTGGGAGGCCGAGGCGGGTGGATCACCTGAGGTCAGGAGTTCGAGACCAGCCTGGCCAACATGGTGAAGCCCCATCTCTACAAAAAGTACAAAAATTAGCTGGGCGTGATGGTGGGTGCCTATAATCCCAGCTATTCAGGAGGCTGAGGCACAAGAACGGCTTGAATCTGGGAGGCGGAGGTTGCAGTGAGCCAAGACGGAAAAGAAACTCAACCTTAGAATACTCATAGAAACTTAAATTGTAATGAGATATAACTGTTGATGGTTAAACACAAAAACAAATTTTTTTTCTTTTTTTTGAGACAGAGTCTCACTCTGTCGCCCAGGCTGCAGTGCAGTGGCACGATCTCGGCTCATTGCAAGCTCCACCTCCTGGGTTCACGCCATTCTCCTGCCTCAGCCTCCCGAGTAGCTGGGACTACAGGCACGCACCATCATCCCCAGCTAATTTTTTTGTATTTTTAGTAGAGACGGGGTTTCACCGTGTTCGCCAGGATGGTCTCGATCTCCTGACCTCGTGATCCGCCCACCTCAGCCTCCCGGGCGTGAGCCACCGCGCCTGGCCAAAAAAAATTTATATATACTTTCTAGAAGCTTTAGTGGCTGGGCACAGTGGCTCACACCTATCATCCCAGCACTTCGGGAGGCCAAGGTGGGCAGATTTTCTGAGGTCAGAAAGACCAACCTGGCCAACATGGCGAAACCCCGTCTCTACTAAAAATACAAAAAATTAGCTGGACGTGGTGGCATGCAACTGTAGTCCTGGCTACTCGAGAGGCTGAGGCAGGATAATTGCTTGAACCCGGGAGGCGGAGGTTGCAGTGAGCCGAGATCGTGCCATTGTACTTGTTTTCTT